TCAGTCGTGCCGTGGTCGATCTTAAACGCAGTCCTTGCACCGACACTCCACAGCTTATAGCAGCTGAACCAGGAACGACAAAGCTCCAATGAGAAACATATCGCGACGCCTTCCGCCGCCAACGCCCGATGCACACATGAATAATATCTTTGCGTAGACTTCCGGTAGCCCGTGCACTTGCGGCAAGCATGCTTCCTTTTTTGGGCTGTAGGCTACAGTCATTGTCGACATGAAGCGGTGCTTGCTGTAGATCTAGTAGACGATCTTCTTTAGATCTTTGTTACTGGCGCAATCTCCGGACGTGTAGATGTAGTACTTGATTGTTGAATGCTTTCTTGATGATGCAACATTTGTACACAGTGTACCACCGTACTAGTCTTCACCGTAAGTACACGATCGATCGAAGCGGTCGGTGGCACAGTGCTGCCCACGCGCGCCTTGTTGCCCGTTCATTTTAGGTTGACGGCAGTCTTGAAGTGGTCAGAGGTTGCAGTCACTGGTGCCGCCACCAGATCGGCGCCCGGCTACAGTTGTAGATCTCGTGCACTGGGGTCAAGACACTGAAGAGCCGTGAGGGCGGTAGGGTTGCTGCAGTGCTCTGCAGTCGTGTCCTTGACACTGACCTTTGTAGTGGTTGTCACTGTTGCTACATACACCGAGGTGCTGCCGGATCGAGCCTGATCCACTGGTTAGCTGTGGTTTGAGTAGTCTTGGATCCAAATGGGGCGGGTCTGACGGAACACAATCGACCGATGCATACATGTGAAATCGGATAGGACAAGTGGTCACTATTCTGCAGACCTACCTCGTAATCGTTGAGTTGCGCGAGCGCGTCCTTGTTCTCGGGCTGACAGGTCGGTCTTCGTCCAGACCCGATGGCGTGTTACATACTAGAACAACATGGTCTCTGTCGGTATCGGCGCAGTAAACGAGTGTGCTATGATAGGGCTTGTTAGCGACCAGCTGGCATAAGGCAGCACACACCATGATGAAGAACACACAGGAATTGTACGATCGAATGTCGAAGAGACCGGAGAGGGTCTCCGACTGCGTCTTAAAGTCGCCAAATCTGAAGTGACACTGAGCGGCAGAAAGCGGATCGGCTTTCAGTACCACGGTTCAATCTCAGTGCTCGTCGCTACCGCAGCCTGCAGCTGCTCGTTCTGCCAGTGAAGCACTCGACGGGGGGAGAGGACGTCGCTGCCAATAATAACTCAAAAATAAAATGTGTGACTTGTGAAAAAAAAAAACTACTGAAGTAAAAATACGGATACACTTTGAAGATCAAAACGATTCATGATGAAATTCTTAAAAGAATAATTATAATGAACTAAGCGACGCTTCATGACGTTTGCTGTGCACACTGTCACCATAATGGCGCCCATGCACCTCGAACTACAAGGACAAAAGCCTTGAAGACTCTTGTCTTGTTACAAGGCCACTTAACATTACTGCAGTTTCGACACATGGTACGACGTATTGAGTGGATCACGTAGCTAATTGATACAAGCTACATCTCATGAAGCAACTGTCAAGTACATGTATTGCTCAACATGCACATTGTTATCATAGAGATGGGCACTCGTACCAGAGCACCAATGACAGCAAGCATGAGCTCTGATGTTTATCGCTGTCCTCGCACAAATGCCACTGATACAATTACTACATGCAGAACCTGAGAGGGGCATAGTGGTGCGAGTACCACGCAAAGCTGACATCCACAAAAGTACGCATGCTATAAACTCGGACGGGTTAATCCGGACGTGCACCATGCACGTACGTGCACTGCATGGTGGGGCTATGACCTCCCACGAACGATCTAGAATTCCACATCAGACATGAAGAGGATGCTGTCGGCGGGTCTCTGAGAATCAGAAGCGCTAGAATACATTCCGTATCGACTACAAACAATTCTGTTGGTGCGAGTTAGCTGGATGAAATACACATTACACTGTTTATCTCAATGATTTCAAACCATATATACGACTTGCATATCTTCGCCTGATCCAATGCATATTGACTGTCCAGCCGTGCTGTACTTCAATCGTTTGTATGTAAGGATGCATCGCTATGCTGCTCTACCTTCTATTGATTCGCTGTATTTCTTGTCGGCGCTTTCCATTGTTTCCGGTTGCCGAATGACTGGCAGCCCCTCGTTTGAGGTTCGTAATAATGATTGGCACCCATTATTAAACCATTCTTGAAGTTTAAGTTTCGTAATAATGATTGGCACCCATTGTCGAAGTTCGTAACGTTTCTCAGCAGTATCCATTTTACGAGGTTGCTGGGACCTGCGGGCACCCCGTCGCTCTCTCAGTGTCGTCTCTCACTCTACCATTCACCTACTCCAGCACAAGCCAAGCGTGTGGGGGCGACGGTAAGGGCAGGATGCGTCCTGTGGATCCTATCTGGATCGTGTCGTGGAATCCTCGTCTTTCATCGACACGAAACTACTTCGAACGACCTACGACGCGTGTGTCGAGGCGTTGCCCACTGCCGGCATGGACCCTTCGGCGTTGATTCAGATGGTCAACGTGCTGTCTCTCACGCTGGCTCAACTGGCTGGGTCACTGGTCCAGGCCTCGAAGGATATTGATAGTTTGTTAGAGGAAGTCTGGACGGCGTACAACGACAGCAAGGCCAAGCCTGACGCGCTCACTCGAGCTGTCGTGACGTGTATGTTCCAGCCAGTATTCCTGCTGCGAGCTGAGCTGACTTCGACGATGAAGCTCTGGCTGGCAGAGTTTATCCGCTTTGGCTCGAGACACAGACCCAACGTGGTCTTCCACTTGGCGTGTCGCTTATGTCAAACGTGGCGTGCACACCCAGTGTCGGCTCTGTCCTTTGTAGACGAGCTGGTGGAGCTGCTGCTGTATAAGGAACCTTTGATCGACGAGAAGGAGCAGCTGGCAACGGATGCGGGTGCTCCATTCCAAGGATTCCAAGGCTATTCTCCTCTCGATGGCAACCAGACAGCAGCGGTCACGACCCACGCCAAGGACAGATTTGTGCGGCTTGTCATGTTGAGCTTCGTGGACGACGTCGCTGTCGACAAGAGCTCGTCCAGTAACGATACGCAGCAGCTCTTTGATGCTCTGACAGCTCGACTTCTGAAGCTCAATGTGACGCCTGAGTGGCAGAAGCAACACATGCTCAACAGCGATGGGTTCGGCAAGAAACTGCGCTCCTGGCAGGCTCTCTGCATCGTCAGTGCACACGTGACCAAGTCGCAGCTGACAGAGTTGCTTCCTACTCTAGCTACTGCATTTGCTGTGCCTCAACTGCCCAGTGTTCGCTACTACATGGAGCTGTTCGGTATGCGGATGGCTGCCAAGTTCCCAACGGAGATTTGCTCTGGCGTGTTGCTGCCCATGCTTGGCGATGCGAATCTGATGCCACAAGTGGGCGCTCAC